AGTGAAAGCAAAAGAAGAGGGACACGCTTTCTTTTTAAAAAAAACAAAAGAAACTAGGGTGTGAAAAACTATGCGCACCCCTTGATTCATCAATGCTTAATTTGAGCCAGTTGTAAAATATGTTGTGTTTAGAATTTTCCGCACTCCTAAATGTATTAAACGAGCAGCCGCTCTTGACACGGGCAAGACTGTTGTTAACGCGGGGCTTGTAATAGTTCCCCCCCGAAACTAGTGTTTCTGTTGGAAGCTTATGCTAAAGCGCACTAAATGGATCAACAAATCTCAACAGTATGCGATAGGGATAATTGAACTGGTAAACAGACACACGGAGGGAAAACATCTGCGGCTGCATCTGCTCATCATCGTGACAAGCCCCTCAGAAATCCACATTCACAATACTGTACCCTGGTTCACACAATTAGCACTGGTTCATGAGCACGACGGCACAACAAGGAGAAGACGACGATGCAGTAGGGAAGAGAGAGAGAGAGCGATAGAGAGAGAGAGAGAGAGAGGGAGTGTGATGGTAACCGCCATGGCTTGTTTTTTTTTTCTCACACAAAATAAGAAGACTTATTCTTCCAGGAATACAGCGATCCCTAAATAGCTGCTTACTTCCAAGTTGTTGACAAAGAGCATCTCTGTGGGCTATTCCCTGTTGTGGAGTGTGTGAGTGGATGAGGGGGGGGGGGGGGGGGGATTGTGCCACTGCACTCAGGTGTATTTGTCCTTGAGAGTAGTGTATGTGTGAGTCTGGGTTCTGTGTGTGTTTGTGTTTGATTGTGTGTGTGTGTGTGTGTGTGTGTGTGTGTGTGTGTGTGTGTGTGTCTGTTTACTCCCCTGTCTCCATCCTGGGAAGGGGAAAAAAAGAGCTCACATGGGACAGACTGGTATCTTTAGCACAGTCAACAGAATACTCAGCCACCAGGCCGCAGACCACCAGCAATAAACAAAGCCAACCCAAGATCAACTAGATTCATCCTCGCTGCAGCAAAAACAAATTAAGAATGACATTTCGAGCTGTAACAACAACAAAACATGGCTCACATTTATAAACTATGAAGTCATAAGCCTCATTTAAGGAGGCTCATTGACTTTGAAAGAAACACGTTCATGTCTGAGTGAGCGGCTGAGAGGAGGGGGGGGGGGGGGGGATACAGCTGAGAGGAAGTTAAGCCAGAACTCGGTTCACACATTAACGCAGTCACACCTGGGAGCTGCACGGCAACAGTCAGCCACACAGTCTCGCACTATTGGCCACTGAGCTGCTCCACTGGAACACTTAAAGGTTAAGTGCCCAGAGGTCACAGCCCATGACGGCAGTTGTTGAGGGATTTAAACAGCCCGGGATTTTCACAGCTACTGTACTGCTACGATTTTAAACTGTGACCTTTAAGTGACAAGCTCATTTCCTCTGAGCCTATCTGTTACTGCAGGTCAATACCAGAGTGATGCAGCTGAGTGTGAGGAGACGCTGCATGGATCTGTTTTTAATAAAGATCTGTGGACGGATGGATGGATGATGGATGGATGGATGATGGATGGATGATGGATGATGTATGGATGTATGGATGATGGATGGATGGATGGATGGATGGATGTATGGATGATGGATGGATGGATGTATGGATGTATGGATGGATGGATGTATGGATGATGGATGGATGTATGGATGGATGGATGTATGGATGGATGTATGGATGTATGGATGGATGGATGGATGTATGGATGATGGATGGATGGATGTATGGATGGATGGATGGATGATGGATGGATGGATGTATGGATGATGGATGGATGGATGATGGATGGATGTATGGATGATGGATGGATGGATGGATGGATGATGGATGATGGATGGATTTATGGATGGATGGATGGATGGATGGATGGATGGATGGATGGATGGATGAGGAAAAGATAAATGGATGGATGGATGATGGATGATGGATGGATTTATGGATGGATGGATGGATGGATGGATGGATGGATGGATGAGGAAAAGATAAATGGATGGATGGATGATGGATGATGGATGGATTTATGGATGGATGGATGGATGGATGGATGGATGGATGGATGAGGAAAAGATAAATGGATGGATGGATGATGGATGATGGATGGATGATGGATGGATGGATGATGGATGATGTATGGATGTATGGATGGATGGATGATGGATGGATAAATAAAGGAATAAAGGAGAGCCATAGATGTAAAAATGTGTAGATATTATTTGCATTATTGATAGATAGATAGATTCTTCTCATTCCTCACTCTTATCGCTTCTAATAAAGTATCTGTCAGGTCTTGTGTTTCAGAGACATCTGCTTCATGCACAGTCCTTGGTGGGGTGTGTGTGTGTGTGTTTGTGTGTGTGTGTGTGTGTGTGTGTGTGTGTCTGTGTGGGTTTGTGTGTGTCTGTTTGTGTGCACACTTGCACACAAGGGAGGAAGGTTGCGTCTAATTGCGCAGGCCCATCTGCTGATTCTGGAAAAAAACAGGCGAGCATCTCACAGACACAAACTGTACAGACAAAAACACACACACACACACAGACAGACACACAAACACACACACACACACACACACAGACACTATAGACACAAGTGCCTTTTCTCAAATCTTTCAACTTGAACACCCTGGACGGTCGGCACCCAGTGTGTGGCAGCTGTGTGGACGGCATTGACTGTCAGGGTGTACAATATGGACTCTTTTGTTTTAGGACAAAGGCCGCTCCACTCAAGGCAAAGGTCACATTTTAAGACAAAAGCCTTTATTCATGGGGGGTGCTGTCAGCAGGGGAAGAGAGAGAGAGGGGGGGGGGTCTGTTTGTGTCTGTGTGGTTGTGAATGGAAGACAATAGGTGCAATTTGTGAAATGGCTGTGGTGAATTTTAATGATCTAATATCTAAAATGTTTACATTACTCTTATTTAAAGGTACATATTCATATTTCTAAACCACTTTTTTGTAATCTAGCTTCAGCCCTAGTTTAAAGATGTGACACTTTTTTTTCCCGTTTGCAGCGCCAGCACTAAGTCCAGATGAGCTCTATCCTTCTTATGGGTCCCTGCAGATGTGTTCTGTGCCGCCGCCGCGACTCACTTTACATGTAATTGTTGCTTCGCCGAATGAAACCGATACAGGGCTGCATTTTAAAATCTGCACTCTTATTAGTAATGTGGTAAATGAAGGTCGTGTGTTTGTGCGCGCCGAGCGGAGCGGAGCGGGAAACACCTGCTTCACACAGACAAAAAAAAAAAAGACCTCCACATCCCCCCTATGAAGAATGATATATCCCCTTTCCTGTTGTTCCTCCTTTTCACTCATTGTCTCGGTGAAATCGAGACAGAACGCCAGCCTTGATATCACAGAATTAGATTTCAAAGCGAGCGGTCAGAGTCACGTGAGAGTCAAGGAAGGAAGGCATGCTGGGTGACATACACTGGACAGGAAGCAATGAAAAATAAACATACACACACACAATGACACACAGAAAGAAACAAGTTTATAATGTAATGAATCACAATTTGAAAAGCGAGAAATAAGCCACAGGTCAGATCTGAACCCGTGCCGCCCGCTTTTAGAACTGTAGCCTCTGTACATAGGGCACATGCACTAACCACTAGGCCACCAGCGCACCCTTAGCTTTCATTTTTTAAAACTGTTTTTCCACATTCTTCTTGTTTTTCTTATTTTAAGTTGCTTCCTCTTTTATTTTGTATGTCTTCCTGTTTTATTCCTACATTATTGTGTTTATGTTGTTGGGTTTCCATGTTGTGTAAAGCACCTTGTAACATCTGTTTTGATCAATGCTGTACAAAATATATATATTTTTTTTTATTTAGTAATAATAAATAAAACTTCAGGAAAGATTGGAATTTCTTCCACAATTGGTCGATCTTTTTTTTTTTTTGGTACAAAGCCTTCTGAGATTACTTCTCCCACACATGTCCTTGTGTAATTCTATCAGGATTTTATTCAAGTTGCTGAACCCTTCAGTGAAATGCCCTTGGCCCATAAAATAGATAAAAACTTTACTACTGCTACACCGCTTAGAAAAAGAGAGAGAGAGAGAGAGAGAGAGAGTAAGAGAGAGAACACTTGTTCACATTAATCTCAGCCGATTCAATCAATTAAGAATAGGATCCTACATGATAACATGGCCAGAGGGTTTCTTATGCAGTAAAAAAAAAAAAAAGCAACATATTTCTCCTCTTAAGTGAAGAACTGATGCACCGCAGGGATACTCTGACTAGCTGTCAATACCCCGAGAACTGCACCCTTCTCTCTCGTCAATAAATTGAATGTGCAATTCATCAGGCCGACTCTAGGAGACAGTATTTCTAATTAAAAAGGAGCTCGTAAATTCAACATTTACAAGCTTGTAAATACACTGTAAATAAGTTGGAGTGAGGAGAGGCTTCATGGGCAGATGAAGGTCCGGCTCTGTGGTTATAGTCCTGCTGATGCCCTCCAGGATCAGCATGCTGATTCTAATTCATTTGGTGTATGTTTCAATTTAGTGTTTTTTTGTTTTTTTTAATCTGTCTGGGGGGGTCTTTAAACAACCTATGCTCTTCTACCCTGTTGTTGTTGCACTCGTCCACAGAGTATGCCGTTACATATTCTTTTTGAAGCTCGCTGGGTCATATCTGATTGGATTAGCGGTTCGAGAGGACACATTTGTCGGGCCAATTAGAGCACTTCCTGGCACAGATGGAACCCTGAGATCTCCGGGGAGAACACTGTGGGTCATACTTGGGATCTAAAAAAGCAGAATGCTTACTGTAGTGTAGACAAAAACAGCACGCCAGGTGTGTGTGTGTGTGTGTGTGTGTGCGTACATATAAATATATTTGTGTGACTGTGCCTCAGGCCTTAATAAGCCTGCTGTAAATGAGAATCCATTCACAGTCAGAGTCCCTTGTTGAACATTGAACGTCTTAAATTGTTGAGGGAGTAAGTGTCAGACTTTCAGCCACACGTGTTTCTTACCTGTGATCGTGTGCTTCGCTACGTCAGAGTGAAATGAAACCCCAGAGAGTCACATCTCAATGGCGGCTGGACGTCGTAGTCCTAGAGACAGAGATGGAGAGGAGAGGAAAAGAGAGAGGGGGAGAAGAGAGGGGGTTATTCAAGCTCAGTGAACTGAAGTCCCTGTCATTTTTCACAATAGAGACAGATAGCCATAATGTGTAGTGAATGTGGGGTGCAGTGTGAATAATGGCCCCCTCCTGATTGTGTGAATAGCCATAACCCACTCAAACATAAGAACCAGACGGTTCACAAGCCACTCTCGCCCCCCTGATTGCTTGTTTAGTGTTTGTGTGTCCGTGTGCGCGCTTAAGCATGCACACTGAGCGTGCATGTGTGTGTGAGTGTGTGTGTGTGTGTGTGTGCTCTGCCTCGTAATGACCTCTTAAGTGTCAGGGTATCAAAGTCTATAATGGTCCATCTCTGTGCTCGCTGGCAGTTTACAGCTAAAAAGCTCTCTCATGCCACAATAACTGGTTTATATGGGTGGCATTTCACAGCCAAATGCCAAAGACACTTTTCAGAAAAAAGGAAATTGTTAGCTCTCTTACTAGAATGCAGAGTGGCAGTTATTCCCCGTTAGACTACCTCTTATATCTTTCTTTATCTGTGTCTTGTCCTTCTGCTTCTTCCCCCCCGTTTTCCATCGATATCTCCCTCCAGCCTTTACTCCTCTTTTTTTCCTCTCTCTCTCTCTCTGTCTCCGGTTCTCTCTCTTCACTCCAAACCTTTATCTCTCTGGAGGGTAAACTCAGCAGCCCCCCCGGTCTCTTGAGGGTTTGTCCAAATATAGTGTGTGTTTTGTGGCTGACATTGCAAATGGCTGTTTGTGTACACTTGGCATGCAACATTTTTATTTTATTTTAAATGTTTATTTATGCTTTTATTTAGAGATAGGACAGTGGGGGAAAGGAGCCAGCTGTAGGATTCAAACCCGAACCACCCACTTGGAGGACTATATACCGTATATGGAGCGATGCACTAATCACAAGGCTTCCAGTGCCTGCATGCGTTGCGTTTTTATACTTAAGGCCAAACAGCATATATCTGTTTGGCCTTGAATTTTTTGTTTCAGGCTCTGAGTTCATTCCAAGGCACAGAAAAAAAATAACAAGTGCGTCCATAAACTGCAATACACACACACACACACACACACACACACACACACACATTCATACAAAGTGTCAAAGCCTGGACCTCTTAGGAGCTCTCAGGCAGGGCTGTGCAATAATTGGGTCTATTAGCCAGCACAGGAGGCCATGAGCAATATCTCTATGGCTGGGTGGTCAGACACTGCAACAAAAGAAGGATTCACTATTCTGTGTTTGTGTCCATGCATGTGTTTGTACGCATTCATGTGTATGAATTGAATGAGTGCATTTTATATATATATGTATGTGTATGCATGCACTACAATGCAGCAAAATAATTGCCTGGAGCAACAGAGCATTGGCAAGTTAAAGGCGCTAAGCTTCCCCCCACCTATACGGCACCTTCACTGCTGTCTCCCTTGCTTCCCTACACGTTATACATTATTCACACCGAGCACACTGGTCAACAATGGAAGGATCAATGAATTAGGAGCTGAGCACAAGGAGTGGAGAAAGAAACTAGTGAATGGAAACCGGGGGCGAAGTGATGAAGGAACAAGTTGGTGTAGGGTGGAAAAAAAAAAAGAACAAGATTTTCATTAGGACTCGTTTATGTGAACAAGTCTGGAAAGATCAGATTAAAGATGCAGGCGTTGTAGAAGTCCATGCCTATACATTAGCTGTGCAGTCTTATTTATCCCAACCCTGAGGAGGAATTCTTCATTAAATCCTGATTTTGTTCAACTTTCTTCTAGTAACAGGCCCACAGTTCTCCACATTACCACCACACCAGCATGATTGGCCGATTACGCCTAACATAATCTATGCCGCTTGGATTTTCATATTTTCTATTTTTAATGACCGTTTGGATTGATGACATATTCATTGTAATGCTCCTAATGTTGTTGAGGTTCTGTTTTTAACTGTAAAGCACTTTGAGTATGAATGCTGCTTTATAAATATCTTGCCTTGCCTAACATTAAAGAGCAAAGTGGGAGTTAGTGTGCCCTTAGTGTGCAAAGTAAGGGTATTAAGGTTGGGATGGCCATATAGTTGTAGTCCATCCATATTTAATGCATGAGCCTGTAGCTTACATCCAGACCAAGCGGCAACCTCCGCTGTTGAGAAATTAAGCCGATGCAGAGGTGCAAATAACTGCAGTTCCTCAAGAGTCCACTTGAGGCTGCCTCAGAAACCAACAAGTCCGATGTAAAAAATGGCAGCAGAATGTTTTCAGTCTGATGAGTTCGGTCTGAAAAGGTCATTCCTTAATTTGTGCACACACTGTACTGTGCATACATTTTTCATAACTCATCCATTATGATTATATTAAGGCTTAGAGTTGTGCATAATTAAGGGCGTGGCCAATCTGGCAGATGGGTGCTCTGTAGCTGTTTGCAAGGACGTTAAAAGCTGGCTTTACTCCACCTTCGCCTGCCATTTAGGGTTGACCATAAGTTAGTTGGAGACAGTTTATCAAACATGGCCACCACCATCGTTGGGCTTTAAAACATGTCTTAAGAAAACAAGGGTGAAGTCACTGAATCTGCGTCCATTTTTATACAGTATGGTCCGGATTTAATATGACCTTTAGCTACATTTAAGATAATAATGTTATTTTCTCTGATCAAAGTAGGGTAGCATTTTAGCTGCCTAACCCTGACAATACTGCGGTTGCCCTGGACGTATAATGGAGCAAAAGGTTTTGTTAAAGCATGGTCACTGAATATTTTACATGATTTTGTTGGACTATATTACTTTTTTTTTCCAAGGTCGCCGGGTAGCTCCAGTTCAAATCACCTGAAGTGCATTAAAGAGGGCCTATGACATCATTTCAGGTGTTTTTGTACAATTACAATCAGTGACTTCTGACTCAACCGCAGAGCAGGGTTTATATTTAACTGTTCCAGTTCACATGAGCGACAAGACTTTGGTCTAAATGAAGGTGAAAGAGGCTCCTTGAGGAGCAACGACGAGGAGAACATCCAGAGAGAATATTGAAGGGTAAATGGTGAACTCTTGCACCACTCGCTTTCAGAGTGGTAGAGCTGGAGGGTGAGGGCGCTGGCTGAGAGGGATTTGTATGCTGAGTGACTTAGCTTGACTGAACAATGGATGGATATGATGGAAAGAGTTTTTTTAAGTCTCTGGGCTCAACGTCTTCCTGAGAAAACAGAATGGAGTCCACATGATAGATGCTGACCATTTTCTCACAGTAAGACAATGGTATTTTCTATTATGAGAGGCAGTGGTCGTATTGATGTCCTGCGTCGACCCCATTACTCATGAGTCCGTTGTATGTAATTAGGATGACGCCACACTTTGCCTTCATGATGCTTTCTCGTGTATTACCCTTTGTAATTATGCTGCAGACAACACATTGCGCCATAAGACACCAGAAAGTGTCTCGACGCCTGTTGGGTGAGATTTATGCCGCTTCCGAATGAAGAAATGTGGTGCCTTCCTTAAAGGGTGGGGTACGCTATATCTTCATGTTGGAACCACAAACTCGCCCGGGGCTTGGACAGATCCAATACAAAGCATAAAGAGTGTGGAGCAATAGTGTGTATGGTCTACCCAGGCGTAAAATTAAAGACTCTTGTCTAAGGGCTTCACATAAATCTTTGAATGAAAGAAAGCAAAAGAAAGAGGGATGAGGAAAGGAGGTATATAAATGGTTGGTTTTGCTGGGAACCCTGGAATTGTAATTAACAATACTCAACCCTGGACAATGGGATGTTTCTATAGACTAGTGCCCAACAAAGACTGTATAAAACATGGGTGTAGTCTCAGTGATGTCACACGTTTGTTTCTGAAGAGGCATTTTGAAGCCGAACGATGGTGGATCCTACATTAGAAATATCTTAACCTAACTTTGAACTAGTAACAGGTGAAGAGGTCCAGTTATAACATGCATAAGGCCTTCTACAAAAACAGCTATAAAGCGCTCACCTGTTAGCCGCCTCAACCGAACGATTAAATAAGCAAATGTATAATATTAATAATATGTTTTATTTAAAGGCGCCTTTCAAGGTCACCTTACAAAGCAGAGGTAAAAACAACAAAGTTACAACACATCGATAAAATTAACATTAAAAACCCAAAGGTACAGGACGTAGAGGATGGAGAATGTTCAGACTGAATATGGCAGTTTAAAAAGATGTGTTTTGAGATGTGGTTTAAAAATGGAGAGAAAGTCGATATTACGGATTTGTGGTGGGAGGGAGTTCCAGAGGTGGGGGGCAGAGCGGCTGAAGGCCTGGACCCCATGGATACAGGTAGGTATGTATACCTCTTCACCTCAATTTAATCAAAATGGCTGAATTATTAAAAAATGACCCACGTACAGTATGCATGAATTGAGGAATGACCTGACCCTTTGTTGTGCCAAGCTGTAAACATGTTTATTTATGATGTAAAAAAAAAGGCATTTTAACATGGTTGTTAATGGGACTTTCTGGGCTTTTGGAGCGAGCCTCAAGTGGACACTCGATGAACTGCAGATGCACTTCTTCATTGGCTTCAACATCAGAGGTTGCCACTTTGTAACCCCCCCACACACACACACACACACACACACACACACACACACACACACACACACACACACACACACACACACACACACACACAAAGAAAAGAACACACCCCAACATCCTTCTAACCATAAAAACAGCTTACAACGATTGCCTGAAATGGGTTTTACTCTAAGAGACGTTTCAAAATACCAAATATCATTTATCAAAGGATGCTTCAGCCGCAATAAACGGGCCTTGTCCAATTCCCCCTCACTCTCATCATGATACATGTGATGGATGCCGTCTCATTTATCATACAAATCCATCTGTGGGGGGACACGATCAGAGGGTTCAAAAAACACACGCAAGCACACTGCAGGGCAACAGGCGCACAATTTCTTACATGGTTAGAAAGCAGACTCGGAGCCTGTGT